AGAGAGAGACAAATGAGCAGTACCTGTATCGGTTAACTATTACATGTCACCTCCAAGCTTTTCAATGAATGAATGCAGTCGAATCAATCATGAGCTAAATGACAATGGTGATCAAACAGTAGCAAACCGTAACGGTTTTAGGGAGAACTGTATCGCTAAATAGCACCTCTTTGGTGACTTAAGGACTTACGAGTGGGATACCAGTCTGTTTGGGTGCAGTGATCGGGCCCTTAGCAGCAGTAGCAAGCGCTGCAGCCATGCTGGAAGCAGATTTCACCCACATTTCGGCCAATTTTTTCACATCTGCCTGGTCCTCTTCAGTTGGGGTGAGTGGGTACAGCTCGAGGCTACCGAATCCTGCCTAGAAAAGCATTAGAAAAAAGTAAAGGCTTTAGCCTTAGTTAAGCCCATTTCTGATTCATCCTTGTAACCGTTTCAGGGGTAAACCAGTTGGCACAGCGGTGGCACTCGATGGAATAAACTTAAGTCTAAGTTAAAATGAATATTTTGGTTAACGCTTCCAATACCATTTATGTGACACTGGTAGCAAACTTGTCAGTACGCCAGTAAACACTAGAAACGAAAGCCTTCGGGTATTGATATCTCACCAACAAAGCAATGGTTGGAGAAACCACATCGACTTATGTCCAGTAAGAAGTGTTTTGGATTTGAAACAGGTTAGATTCGTTTGATACCAACCAAAAATCCTTAGATTGCGCAAAATCTAGAATTCCGATGCCTATTCACACTGCTACAAGATCAGGACAGCAAAATAATGGAAAGGAAGGATGTAAACATGGGAGAAATGGACTTCACCTCTAACCATTGCCCTTACGAAGGGGGTTTGGTACAATTATGACCAGTCTTCTCCCAGTTAGCCTAACAGAAGCTATGGGCATCTGAACGGCATCAAAATTTACTGCAGGCGATCGGAAGTCTGCTTTTACATACCCAATAAAACTTGTCACCGTTGTGAAGGTAAACAACCGATGCTAATAATGGCAAACTTCGTCTTATTGCACCAATATATCTCCCAAGTCTGCCAATGGCCCTAGCCTTCCAGATCTAGCCTTCCGTTTAAATAGCTACCTAAACAATAACTCAGATGCTTCATAGAGTAACTAACTCTGTAGTAGAGAGGCAGTGGTTTCGGTACCGCAGCCATCTTAGCACCTCGGTTGACCTCCATCGTGATGAGACGCGAGTCTGCAATGGCAGGCTTCATCGCAAGCGCCAGGTCGCCCATCACCTTGGCCACATTCAATACTAGAGGGTCCGTGAGAGCCATTGTTGTCGGTGGTGGTGGCTGAGATATCATGTAGCCAGGTGGCGGAGTCAGGAGACAAGTGACTTTGGGCAGAAGAGAAGTGCTATCGGAAGAGGCCATGAGAGCGGGCAGGAGGGAAGCCAGACCCAAGGTGTTTTCAGCCCCCCAATGTGTGTGCAAAATGGCGTCGATACTATTAAATGGACGGACAAGAATAAAAATATATAACTGGTCAGCAGAAATGCGATATTTTGTAAAATCTTCGTGGGGCATTCTCCATAGGTGAAAAGTTTTATCCTACCTTCTAAACATTCATTTGTGCAGAATGACATTTAAATACGCATGCCATGACGGCCCATTCACACCTAGTCTCCCAGTAGCCCCACCGATTAATCCCCGTTAGCAGACCTTCCAGGATGACTCAGAACACTAATGTGGTAGCAGAAGTAAGCAAGCTTGATTAAAGAACGGACAAAAAAATCCTCATTTCGTGGGCCGATTACCAAGATTCAATGTTACAGGAGGAAAAAAATGCTTTGAATAGCTAAATCCGCGGGACCTTAATAAGGACAAGTCAAAACATCGAGTTTTGGTGACCCCTCTTCCCCCTTCCCTTTAATTTTGAAGGTCTGCACAATGACCACTGATGAAGTGAGGTCAAGTTTCTAGCGCCTCGAAATAGTCTCCAAATGTAACCACTGCCACCTCTCCCATGTTATCTGGGAGAAAGTTCTACCCTACAAGTGAATGGATTTACGAAATGGCAGATTTGCTATAGAACCCTGTGAGACATTTAACGCTACCGCCAGAATAAATTCCTCCTTCCCTTCCCCCCTCGCTGAAGATGCCTGCCTTGTAAAGGATGAGGTGTTTAGGAGCTCCGAATGCATCCACAACATGAATCACCATTGCTGAGAAAAGTGGTGTTTTATGTACGAGCCAAATTCATCAAAAAACACCAACAAGCTCCTGTCTTCCAGTGGACCGCAGTTAAGGAAAGCTTCTTTACAGCCGAAGCAGAAGCGCGATCACGCAGAGCATCGGGAAACAATTCGCTTGTTTTAATCCTATGGACTCTTCAACCTCTGTGCTTCGGCTATCATAAATCAGCGCCATGATTTCCTGGCTACGTAACACAGGAAACCACACAGCAATGACACCGATTTCTCTCGCCTATAATCCCGTGTCAGAGAAAGTTAACTGAACCATTTTTTAAAGGAAAAGAAAATCAGTTGGAATTATCAGAAATACATAAGGCTTCATTATTTTTCCATCGGATGATCTGTATCTTCAACAGACTTGCCAAAATGATTTGGCAGTGCTAGAACTGCCTCTAAAAGACCAAATCTTAGCCTAGAACCTCACCTAGCATTAGAAAGCGGAAAACATTGTTCCCATTAATATGAAATGTCCTACAGTGGTGGCTGTGTTACTGAGTAACAGTTGAGAGGTTCACCAAGTAGGCAAGACTTGAAAGGCCTACTCCCGCTTCTAAACACTTCTAACATGATCCGGTGCCCAAATGCAAAACTACACAAACAAAAGTTAAAATAAATGTTCCGCATTTCCTTTTTCTTCGTGAAAATTAAGACCATTTTTTCCAAAGAAGGTCTTATTTTGAAATAAACAATAATTTGAGGAGGAGGAGTTTTCACTTGTAGGTTTTACAAAAACAATCCAATCGCCGTCTACGCTGCTACAGATAGACATTTAATTCATAAGGTCGCGACAGAATGAGAGAATGCAAAGCACTGCAAATTCACTTGCCAACATCCCAGGAGCTTGCAAAAGAAGCACACAAAGGCAAATGCAAGCTTTTAATAAAAAATCAGGGGCTTCGGGAGTGTATCAACGAGATTACCAAGTCACAAAGGAAAGGCTATTAACAGGAGTAGGAGCATTTCCTGTTCTACACGACATTTCCCATAAACTGATGGCTCTTGACCAAGACGAAAGAGGGGAATGAAAGGACCGACATTAGTCACAACTCACTTTAGTAGGAAAGGGAATGAAAAACCAGAAAGGGAGAATTAGTCGCTACTGAAGAATAAAATGCACAAAAAATGCGTTTACTGGTAAGCTTTGATAGATTACCCTACGATTTTATGCAGCCGGAGAAGGCTATTGCGACTTGACAGACATGAGCTAATGACGAAGTAACGAAAAAACACGTGACTTGACAAAGAAACAACAGCCAAAATGGAAGCCGTTTTTACCAATCTAGCTATTCCAAAGATTTTGAGGTGTGATCCTACTTACAAATTAGGATACAGTTCGCCTTTTATGCTACACAGCCTAGCGGCATGGTATTAAACACCACCATCATCGCTAGAAGCCATGCCTAACTATGGGCTTAGGAGGTCTAATTCCATCAATACAGAAATGGGTATCCAAAATTTACTGAGTTATTGCCCGCACAAAAATGGATAACTTTTGGTACCAGGGACTAAAAATCTACTCAAAAAAGGAAATTAATTCACTTCTCCAGATGTTGAGCCATCTTCCAGCACTTGGGCTCCCACGAACATCCCGCGTTGACCATTAGAATGAACCCGGGTAGTGCAAAGATAGCCGACTGGCCCGAACCCTCAGGAAAGATGTAGAGACAGGGTCGTTGGATGCGAATGGAGCAGCCGTTTGTTTTAGCTGCTGGCTGGCAAACTGCTGGTGGCACTGGCGTCGGTATCATCGGTTCCAGACGTTGACAGAAAGCCTCTACACCTGTTGGTGTTATCATTAATTTCGGAGTTAGTCTAACCGCCGTATTAACAAATCCTCGGGCATTTACCTATCCAGTATCTCTCAATTTGAGTTACACATCCAAACTAGTTTTTCTTCAACGGAAGCAGAATAGTTCGTATATAACTACTAATGCCTTAGAAAAGACGTCATTCTTCCAAAAAAATTTAGGAATAAAGAGGGGATACCAGTGGAACCGGAATTTCCTATAGGAACTTATAAAAGGGAATGCTATCCCAGCGGTACTACACATAGTGATAAGTAATTAGTTAGCCATATTACTTTCAAAGACAGCTAACTCCTAAAATAGTATGAGAGGTCAACAATGGGGTACTGACAAGAGAGTGAGGTGACCATAGTGATACTGGTAAATCTTTACTTTGAAAAAGTAAACACAGTTTGCGCTCCTCTTCTTTTATGGGCTTGAAAGTTCCGAGCGGACACGAATGCCCAGATGAATCGTACCCTAAACTAGTCAATAAATGATAGAGCAAGAAGTGAAACCTAGATACTCAAAGAAAATAAACGGCGAATTCTACGTTATAAACGCTTATGTCGTACAAACAGACAAAAATGATTATGTAGCATTGGCAAACGTACTGACAGATGGAAAAAGAATTGGCATCTACGACTCATCCACTCAGAAAGCAAATGGATACCTACTAGAAAACTATTTAGCTTACCGGAAAGGTCGGCGGGTAAAGGAGCAAGTTCGGGCTTGGCAGAAATCCCCACAGGTGCCTTTTTAGTAGGCGTATGCAGTCGATTAACAGTGACGTGGAGAGGACGGCCGGCTATGGCGGATGGAAGACGACTTGACAAAACATGACGCCATTCACCACCGGAAGGCAAGCTCGAACAGGCGATATGGAGGCTCACTGGAGGCATAGACTCCTTTGTCGTATCAGCCTAGGTAAAAGTCAAGAGAAAATAATGAAAACCAAGCGTACCAGTGATTGATAAAGTTTTCCAGAAATCAAAGAAATCCTTTCGGTCACGTAATCTGGCTTTAGTACGGAATTAGAGAGGACCCAATAACCAGTGGACTGGCAAATAGCTCCAGTATACACGAGAGCTATTAGATGGGGAAGAAGATTGACAGCATTATCCAGTTCTTCTAAAATATATTCCACGGTTGTGCCTCGCAGCAAGACGACGTTTACTTCAGGAGAAATAAATTTAAATCCTGAAAAGTAGAATGGTAACAGTGTAAACATTCGGAACGTTACAAAACTTACCATCTTTCCTAAGTGTTACAAAACGCTGAGTATCTGAAATGCGAAAATAGTACATGCGCATACGGAGGTCAACATAATGCTAGCAATGAAGCAGGCCTTCAACTAACCCCCATCAGAGAGCGGTTCAAGACAATCAACGGAGCCCAAAGCTTCATTTATCTTTAGTAAGTCGAAGTGAGGAATACTCGCTAAACCTGCAAAAGAAGAAACAAAAACGGACACTAGAATTTAAGGAACTTAACGCCTAAATTTAAGGTAAAATATGACATTAATACCAATGACAAAACCCAAGCAGGTTTTCATTCTCAATCAAAATGCGCAGTGAACGAGTGTGCATATACTATAAGGCCCTATCGCTGTCATGCATCCGAAGAATTTAACATCACCAACAGTACTTATAACACCGTGTCGCAATCTAGGAAGAGACAACCATCCTCGAAAAACAATTACAAAACAAACATAACCAAGAGAGGTACAATACCATCTCTGATATGAGAAACGAGACTTGTTTTGTCAGGAACATTTGAAGTTTCCCCGATTACTATGATGATGTTAACCTGTGACATATGCAGCGCGAATCGCACACGACCTATGGAACCCAAATTAGACGCCTCTCCTTTGATAATTCGAATGATTCATTAAAAATTGTCCATAATAATTTATTTGCAAAATTGTGTAAAAACTAGACTGCAAATAAGGTGAATATCGGTTAGAAAGGATAAGGCATGTGGTCTAGGCGATGATTATAAATTCGCCATTAGGTCCAAAACTAAGAGATTTTTAAATTAAAATACATAAGTGCAACATCGATTGTTTGTTTGGCATTTTTTTTGAATGTTGGAAAATACGAAAATAAAAAAAACAATTTTTACTTGGCTGTATGGTTTGCTTGTCGCGTCGGTAGCCCCTATGCCCTGCTGCGTGTTGGTGATTCTTAATCAGCTCTGGTACCATGTTTGTTTGTCTTCAAGAACTTCCCAACGCTCTATATTGGTAGCACGGAGAAGCAAGCTTTTTTCGTAGGAATATTTTTTTTAGCATTACTTGGGAGTGGGCCTTGAAGTGATGAAAGAGCGGCATGTGCTGGCGATCTGACAGCCTGTGACGGCGCAAAAGAAAGTTTAAAATAATATCTATATATGGCGACCACCTGAGGCTTGTGCTCTGCTAAAATGCTGTTAAGAACTGATGCTGCATCAGCCCGCAAACATCTCAAAAATTTCCTTACAAGGCTGTCTTTGATGCCTGTATGAGGATATCCACTGGGTGAGCATGCAATGCCTTCACCATAATTCTACTAGCTGGCTAGAAAGGAGTGATATGTCTGAGCAGCACTGAAGTACGACAAAGTGATGCAAAGAAATAGATGCAGAGCTTTTATCATGGACGAAGCCATTTTAGAATCCTTTCTTTACTAAATGATCTTTCCTGGGACAGTTTTCTTACATCTCGCAATGGTAATTCGATGCATAAATTACATTTCTCTTAAGCTAATTTAGCTGCATTGGTCAGAGTAGTGTGCAAGTATTTATTTGCACTAGAATTTCAAGTTCCAATACAGATTATTTCCAACGTCACCGAATTTTTGGAACAAGATTGCAATTACACAACGCGATCTAAACTTCGCCGAGTCTTCCTCGAAATTACCGGAAGTCACAGGAGCATAGCAGAGAAAATGCTACTGACATACATTAGGGTTGAGCATGCTGACATGTTCCGGTGGACAAGTTGGCGAATGGTAATGTAATACAATAGTGGTTTATCCCTCGGTACTGGTGAGGCGCCACTTTTGAATTAGCCCTCTTGCGTCTCGCTGGGTGGGCTGGCCTTTTGGGCCATGCCAGTAGCCCAAACACCTCCTCTGTGCTGATGATATATTCTGCCCGAGTATTGTGTCTTCTTTCGTCTTCGGGGAGTCTCGGGACGCTACAGTAGCGTTATCTACCAGCTTAATTGAAAGTCGAGTTAAACACAGTACGGAAGCATTCCCGTCGCCCAAAACAAATCCCTGATGCTTTAGAAGTGGAATGATTGAAAAGGGTTGAAGTATTTTCTCATAGGTATGGAAATGGCCCCTTGTCAACAATTAACTTACTCTTATCGTTTGAAGCTGTATTGGTTAAACAGGAAGAGTCAAAAAGTGCAACATATGTTATTTCCCTTGTTATGCACCTCTATATCCATTTCTACATACTTAGCTAAAAAAATAGCTAAAGGGGTGTATATTTTGCTTTGCAACATTAGGCTTTACAAAATTAGGGTTTGTTGGGGGCCATGATTCCCCGTCTCTGTCTTAAAGGTCGATAGGATCGCCCGGCTTACCACCAAAAATTGCATCTAAACACTTTTTCCTTACAATAAATACACTTATATACATATACATGTATAGATTTTACTCGTGTACACCTATGAGATAACCGGATTAATGTACTTTTGACAGGTCGATCCTAATCTTTTTAAAATTACCATAGGTGTAACCAGTAATAATTGGCGAAAGGGCTGAAATTCTGTCATAGACTTCAAGACTAGAAACTGGCTAATCCGTAATTTCAAGCATGACTCTGTGTAAATATAGAATCAATACAAGGACATACAAGTAAAAATACCCTATCTTTTGGCGTTATACAACAAATGCTGGTTTGGCTCTAGGTTTTGGTAAAGGGACCGCCTGGACCGGGTGGGTCAGACTACGGGCCACGTCAGTAGACTTAAAGCATACTGCGTGCCGAAAATACATAACCTATCCACTTTTTGTCGTCTTCCGTCTTCGAAGAAGCCACAAAGCGCTACACTGGCGGCAGCGGGATGCGAATCTAATCTAAAAACACTCATCCTAATTTTTACTGGTAAGCGATACATCTTAGTGGGGCAAAAGGCATGCATATACTGCGAAAGGGAGGATCAGTAATGACTTAAAACAGGAGAATCACTACTGAGCTGCCTGCCATACAGGCATGGAAACATCAACTATGTAAAACTTCGACACCTCCTTCACTTCTAAACTAACTGGACAGAACCCAGATATGGTTGGGCAAATTTAAAGTGAGAAAAAAGTGGCATAGTGAAGTGAACACGGAACCCTACCTCCATAGTACCATGCTAAATTCCCTATTTTTTGGTATACGACTGCTTTTAGGCCAGTGCTCTCCAGACTAGCTGGGGATACACATGACGGTTGGCACATTACACCCGTTGTCTAACTTATCCCTTATACAGATCCAGGAGAATTGCCAAGGGGGATCACCGACATTGCTCTTAAATGCCCTTCCAGCTGAGGAAAAAAGGAAATGCTGGCATGGTTAAAGTAGTGGGTTTTGTTCTCAAGGCACTGATTACGCTGTAATGGCCTAAGCAGGAGGTGGACCAACGGGAGCGCCGGAGACAAGGCTTAAAAGATGAGGGGCTATGAAATTCCTTGGTTATTTATTTAATTCTCAGGTTCGGTAAAAGGAGCTGCTTAGGTGTTCCACTAGTGTGCCCTCGCCGGGTGAGCTGGCCTTCGGGCCATGTTAGTAGGCCCAGGCCCTACTGTATGTTGAAAGCGTATAGCTCTATGAGGCTTAAAAACGGACGAATCACAACATAATACTGGGACCGAACATATGCATAGTTGATAGGGAGTAGGGTTTGGGGTGAGCTGCTTGACCTGCAGGCCATTTAACTCAGCAAAAGTACAATAGCAGAGACACATTGTGGCCCTAGAGTTAAACAACCAACACATTGCATATATGTTTTACCCGAGTGTTGAATCCTCCTTTGTCTACACGGAAGTCTAAAAGCACTACGTTAGGTTCTGCTGCCTTATTTTCTCTTGATAACTTTTTAATCGTCGCAAGCAAGAATGTACACGGAGCCTTAACAACTTTAGAAGACTCAGGGGTAAAATTTAGTATGTTTTCGCAAACTATAGAAGTATATGATTTCTACGTCACTATTGCATCTGGTCACCTATACTACATCCAAATTTCTGGCATTCTCGCAAACTAATCTTATGGAGAAAAAATGTCGACTGCACAAAATTTTGCTCAGTTTTTGCCGTTAAGCGCGCAGTGAATTAAGTACAAAGTAAGGGCAACAAATAAAATAAATTTAATGAGTCCGCGCCAAAAAAAATATTGCTTTTCCTAATTTGAAGAACGATAATTAGGTATAATAAGCTAATTTTTTGGGGTTTATTCTTCTTACCAAATTTTAGCTACTAGGTGTTTTGCACTATAATATCTTTAAATGCATTACCTATACAATTTTTCCTAAAGATCCCAACATTGTGTTCAACTTAATAATAGCATCCTATTTGAAGGGCACTTGTGGTGTGGGTTTGTCGTATTCAACGCAGGATGGGTCTTGTGGGTTTGTGTATTTTGTTGTGCGTACTTTGCACAGCGTTTGGTGAGAAACCCAATGTTAAAGATGCGGCTGAGGGTGTAATATGCAGATCATATGCAAGTGCTAAAGAAAATGGGATGTTGGACGTATGCAAAAACCTATGGCTTCATGCAACTCTTGTTGAACCGAACATTGAGTCCAACGAATGCAGAGATTGCAAGAGGCTTGTGACTAACGGAACTTACAGCACCATTTTATCCAAGATATCAAAGTCTGAAGTGGGTCACTCGTTTTTGTGCATGACACTGTAGGGATTCCTGAACATTGGAGACGTTGAGCTCAAGCTATTGGCTTCAGAATTGGTAGTTTCTTCCTCTTATGGGTAATTTTGTAGGGCAACGGTTCCCTTGTCTGTGCTTTACTTGATAGCTGCAGTAGCCTTTCTTTTGTCCTGCCGGTAGACATTCTCAAATATTTACACTATATTCTAGACTCTGAAATTTGATGTCAAGTCCACCTGTAATGACTGCAAAAAAATTATAACTGATTTGCGCGCCCTAGTCCAAGATAACGACACCAAGAGTGCTATAGCTAGCTACTTAAAAAAGGCATTTTGTTACGAACTGCCTCTTCAAGTGGTTGACATCTGCAAACACACTATTGATGCCTACGTTGTTATTCTTATGGATATGGCAGGTAGTGAGCTGGTGGGTTGCTGTAAGCCATCCCTTGATACGTTTTTTTAGCATCCTGGTCCCATCTGTGCTCTTTTTGGACTCTGTCCCACTGAAAGAATTGAGATGAAGGTAATGTTTGGCTAACCATATTTACCGTCTTAAGAAGTCCGAAAAGGACTCAGAATTCAAGTCACATTCCTGGATCCAAAGACCTGCTCCTGTTGGCTTCGAGTTCTTCCATTCTCGTCTCAGCTACTCTGGTGCTGTTTCCGACTCAGATGCTTGCACTGAATGTAAGAATGTATTCTCCCGCATTCGTGATCAAACCAAGGATCCTGTCTTCGATCAAGCTTTAAAGAATGTTGTTAAGGAATCCCTTTGTGAATCGTTCGGTTACTTTAAGAGCATGGTAAGCCACATTATTGTAAAAAACTGTCGATTGCTCAGTGTGAAGCGGCTGTCTCCAAGGAAGTAGACTCCATGATTGACAACGCCTCAAAAATGAACATCACTGACCTCTGCTTCTTCTTCAATCAGTGCACAGAGAACGTGTCGCCAGTGGCAAGGGCTTTTAAGGCATCTCTTTTTAGACTCTTTGCTCCTCCTTCACAGGAACTCAACGTTCCCATTCCTTTCGTTTGTCCGGTGTGTGAGATGTTTTTTGCAAAAGTGATTGACTTGGTTCTCAACAATAGGAGCGAGGCTGCAATTGTTTGGGCACTTGAAGAGGTAACACTTTGTCTACCCCAATCTCTATCTCTATCCCATTTTTTTTCATTTCAGTCATGTAATCTGTTGCCCTCTAAATCACGAGAGTCATGCATTCGATTTGTCGAAGCCTACTCGGATGTAATCATTCGAGAGATTATAGCAGGCACTGCCCCCAAGATCATTTGCTCCAGTTTTGGTGCTTGTGACGCAGTGGCGGCAATTCCAGTTGCTGCTGGGGTAAGCTCTTTCATCGGTTATTCAATTGGATGGGGGCTTTGTTTATGTTAGGCGAAAATTGATTGGAGGTCACTGAGAGCATCACATGTGCGTTTTCAGATATTTACGCCTACTTCAGGTTTGTTTACTCTTGTGTTTACAGCCTTTGGTGTCTGGTAGTAGTACCGCCTTAGAGCAATGGTCTTGGTGCCTTAAATAAGTAAAACAGGGACCTTTGCTACCAGGCTCTCAGCTGAATACTAACCACGACAGGCCATGTAAAACGTTTCTTTAAATTTATGGCACTGTATTTTGCTCTTTTTGTATTCGTGACTTAATTTGGTGTAAGTAGTTTTCATGAACCGTTAAAGAATACGTGTCACATATGCGTGACACAGGCAACGAAGGTGCTGAATTGAGAACCTGCTCACTCAATTGTGCAGTGGTCAACAGTTCGAAGTTTGAATATTACTGCTCGTTCTTTTTTTGAATTTTTCTTCAGGCGAAACAATTTTTTTTTAAAATTTGGGGTGGACATTCTTGTACCAAAGTCCACAGTGTTATTCCTTTTTTTCTTGGGGATAGGATTCAGAGTGCAAATTGTGTGAGGTGATTGTCGGCACGATTTACGAGAATCTGGAGAACAATGCCACCAAGGAGGATACTGTCAAGGCGTTAGAGACAGCGTGCAGTCACCTCCCCTACCTTAGTGCTCGGGTCTGTGATTCACCTTGCTATCAGAGCTTTTATTTTTGTTGTACTGAATCCTTCAATTAGTCGTTTCGTCAGTATTGTTGGAGTTTTTTTTATCGACGTCTTTTGCTTATAATTCTCCTGACTGCGATCAATTGAATAACGTTTGTTGAACTCGTTTTCCATTTGTTCACTTCTAAAGGAAATTACAACTTTTTCCTTTTAAAAGTGTGTACAACTGGTGGATGAATATTGCTCTCAGGTCATAGATCTCCTTGTGAGTGGTGTGTCACCGAAAGAAGTCTGTCAGGTAAGCTTCTAAGGAGATATCTCAGTGAAATCCTACTGCCTGTTAAGATGCTTCTATCTGATAACCCTATGATTGACTCTGCTACTGCTAAATTGTCATTCGTGCTCCCCTTTTGTTTTTATAGAAAATAGGATTCTGTTCCGAGGTTGTGGTCGCTGAGCCGAGTCTGAAGGATGGCTGTGCCATCTGTGAGGTTGTCTTTGCCGAGCTCTACTCCAAACTACTTGACAATGCTACCGTAGAGCGTGTTGAGGGTCTCCTAGAATACCTCTGCAAATATGTCCCCTCAGCCTATGCCTATACGGTATCGTTGTGCATGTGTTTAAAATATTTTGGCCGTTTTAAATTGCTACGTCTGATTGCATTGGTGTATTAATTAATGCGTTTCGTTACCATCATTACGAGTTTGTGATTTTATATTTTATCCGTTTTTCATAACTGATTATATCTAAAACGATCAAATAACTTGATGTGGGATGCTCTTGGTCTGAGAATAATCGCATTTTCTCTGGATTCTGGGCATCGTTTGATTCGACCAATATAAATTAGTGACAATTGGTGTCATTTAGATCAGTGAAACATCTGGGTTGTGGTATTCACTCCGAATCTTCCCTCGAGGCAGATTCTGATTGTAGACGTGCTAAGCTAAGGTGGATATTGGACCGAACTCCACGACACGAGGGCGGTGGAGACTCTCAAGAACCTCCGCATGTAAACCTTGTTGCGAGACAAAAACCTTATCATCATAGCTGGGTATTACGGAGATTCACTGACGTGGTAGTGTTCTGCTTATGCACTGAAGCGTTCGCCCGGAAATGTACCTATTTCGTAAAACCAGTTATTCCATGTCATCTACGGGTCATCAAGTTTCGTTATGACTCTTGTTTTAGTGCCAGTCTTGGGTTGAACAGAACACAGCGGCGATCATCGATCTTGTCGTACAAAAACTCCCACCAAGAGAGATATGTGAGGTGAGTTTTCACCCCACATAAATACACGCCTTTACATAGTACTTCAGTGTGATAACTTTGACCTTTTAAACTTGTCAGGATTTATCAATTTGCTATCACAGTGTACCTTCTGGGTCTCCAATTGGCACAAAATGTGAAATTTGCAAGGAGATAGTAGATTTTATCTACACCCGAATTCAGGAGGATGCTACAGCTGATCAAATTGAGAAGGCTCTTGAAAGTGTCTGCGATTACCTTCCTAATGAGGGTCTGAAGTCTACTGTGAGTTACCCTTGAAGGTCAACTACTTGGTCATGCTTGATTGATTGATCGTTGAACGCAAATTGACAGAGCGTATTCATCTTTCAGTGCCACGAGTATGTCAAGGCCTACACCCAAATATTGATCGATCTGTTGGTGAAGCACCTGCCCTCCAAAGAAGTCTGCCAGGTAAGTTTTATGGAAATATTCAACGAGTGACTAGTCAGGTCTCCACCATAATTATACATCGACCTAGACTCCATCATGCCTCTTGTTTTCAGGGCTAAAGATTGAATGGTGCCTAGAAAAAACAAGGCTAAGTAGTAATCAGGCGATTCCACAACAGAAAGACTAGTCGAGATCGGATGTATTCTTAGCAGCGAGGTATTGAGGCTTTGGTTTTTGTGAAATCGCAGGAACTGCGTCTGTGTCCGTCGGATGCACTCCTGAAGCATCTGTGTGCCGGCGGCCCCTCATCTTGGTGTCGTGATGAGTATACCGCCAAACTCTGCTCCCAAGAGACCTTCTGCAAGGAATTCATCTGGCAGCTTCCGAATCCCTCGGATCCAAACTCTCGTCCGCCCGTTGTTCGCAAGTATGTCACATTCAAGTACAACCCTCTAGTCATACTGACTGCTCTCTTCTAGATGCTAAAGTACTTTTTTTTATCGCTCTATCTTTCATGGAAGGTACGACTGCAGTAAACTCTCCACTCGTGAGGAACGCTGTTCAGACGAGCGCTTGATGCGCCTGTGCGGTTTCGGGGCCTTTTGCTTGGGGTACAAGCGTCCACCGGTGGATCCCTCCAATGCCTGCCGTTTCTGCCGAAACCTCCTCACTCAACGACTTACTTACGGTAGCTTCGCTCTTGACTGCTCCATCTATGTAAACCCGTTGGAAAAGATACGAGTATGTTCACATCATGCTCTGATCTCCTCTTGGACTTCCTTATTAACACTCTACTCCGTTTTGCAGTGCCAGAACGTTCGAACGCTCAAGGTTCCGGGGCGTGTGTCTTTTAACAACCTCGATTCCATTTGCAAGGTAATGAACTAAGACGTTCCGTATTTCTACGTGAACGAACGGGTTCACGACTGGTTGGGTTTTTTTCCCCGCATAGGAAAATCAACTCTGCGATGATTCGGTAGAATCACCGCCAATGAACTCCCTCGCTCCCCTTCAAAAAATCATCGGTGATGATCCCTGTCTCTGGGGTCCCTCGGTCGCGTGTCGCGATGCTGATATTGCAGCTCGTTGTGGTATGACTACCTACTGCCAACACCACGTCTGGCTGGCTGATCAACCGCAGTCTCGAGCCGAAAAAGTTCCCAGCTTGGCCCTCATTGATTGCTCCCGTCCCCTGCGTGAGATCTGTGTCTCTCCATTGTTGCGCTACTGTGGACGCTCTATTCTGGAGCAGTGTCGTCTCTACGCCGCGTCGGGCAGTGTTGGGAGTGATATGCGTCGTGAAATGTGCAAAGACCGTCCTCTAAGCTTCTGTTCAGATCCCAGGATGGTAAAACTGTGTGGAATGGGCGAGTACTGCGAGGCAATGAGCATGACTCCTACATCACCAGCACCGCCGAATACAGAGGCTCCACGCGATCCTCGATGTCGTCTCGGCTCAGCTTTTGTATGTCAAACCTACGCAAATGCAGTGCTCTGTGACCAGGTGGAGATGTGCCGTAGCAGATTCTGGCCACGAGGAGTGTAGACTTGAAACTTCAATCGTATCCGTGCCATTTTTTTCACCTGTTTATTTGATTCTGTCAAGCTCTCAAATTGTGACTCCATGTTTCATATGCATTCTCATGTTGAAAGACTTAATGGTGGATCAATAAAGTTGCATAATTCATACGCTCAGGTTACTGTGTGTGGTTGAGGTTCAGTTGAAATCCTTGAAGGCCACATTTGCTTCTCCTCCCCTTGTTAGTCTTGTGCTGTGCTTGTCCACTGCTTGTTAGTTCATTTGAACCGTTCCAGACCTTCCAGCATGTACGAATTCTCCTGAAAGAAGAAGATTGTAGATTGAAGTCTTGTGTACAATTTGACCACTTCAATTAGACCTCCAGGACTGATGTGCCGTGGGTTGGGCGTATAGAACAATCACAGCTGGAACCCTTGCTGGTGGATGTAAGATTGTCACTAATTCATTTGATGTTTGGCTCCTTCTCACACCATGCTTGAACAATTCCTTAAAGATGTGTGGGTTTTCGTGCTACCTTTTTGTTCCACAAGCAGTAAGTGCCAATATCTTTTGTGGATGAGGCAACCCAAGTCCCGGTTCGTCCTGAACGTCCTTGAGACTGCCCATGCAACTTCCTTAAGGTCGTATTATTTATTGGGTCAAAAACAACACCTTAGAAGTAAATATTTACCCCCAAGATGCTTTCTTCCCTGCTTATATAAAAGTACACAAAACTTTGATACTGCTGTGGCGTTTTTTTGAGGGAAAATTACCCCTTCTCTTGTCCCTTGAAAAAGGCGAAATGTAGTACTGACTACATTTGCCGTCGTCGTTGTGACACATCACATCCGCTGGCATAAATACCACAGGGTATATGTATCGCGAATTCGACCCTTAGCTTGCAACAATCGAGTTGGACTTGTTTCACAAATCCAACGAACTCAAATTGCAAGACTTGTGGGCAGGTTGGCAGTTGTTACTCGTCAGATTGTTTGGTCCAGCAGCTGGGACTTCGCCTCACTGCCTTAAACGCGCATTGAGGGAAAAATACACAGCTGGACAGTATGACGCGACAAGTAAACGATCGTCATTTGTAAAGATGTTTTTAGACAGGAGGGCGGCGGTAGTGACGGCAGGCCGATCGGGAGGCAGCAACTAGATCCATCCATCCATCCTGTATCCATCCATCCTGTATCCACCCATCCTGTATCCATCCATCCTGTATCCATCCATCCATCCTGTATCCATCCATCCTGTATCCATCCATCCATCCATCCTGTATCCATCCATCCATCCATTGTGCCCCACGCGAGTCCCATACGTCACGTAGAGATGCCGGAATATGCGCATGGCGGAGCTTAAGTATACGTACATCTGGCTGATATACAAATGTTCTCTGGCCAGGTCATGACCCTATCTCAACCGTGCAGTCTTGCGAGGGTCCAACACCGACTAGGACACGTTCAACCTCCACGTGCGATGGTGTCGATCACGCCGAACCCGCAGGCTTTTTTTTTTAGACTACTAAGGTCTCCTAACCCAAGCTACCTACATCTAAATGCTCTTTTGACTAGTTCCAGATTTTGGTTCGGTATGCACGTTTACACCTCCTTCCAAACCAATTGCTCATCCTGCAAACTGTCAGAGATTCCGTCTGTTTTTTTTCCTTTCTTCAGCTTTCAAACAAAACACCTAGTGGCGAATTTACTCTTAAGTGTATCGTTAGTTAGGTTGAAAGTAGAGTAAAGTTTGCGACATGTGGATAACTTAAACAAAGCACAAATCGGTATCACATAAACAACAGTCAACCGGAAAAGGCGCCATATGAACGGATTTAGTGATGTGTAAAACATATTGTACAATTTATTGAAGGGGTTTTCTCGTGTGAAAATGAAGCTTAAACTCTCAGCGAATTTTAATGATCACAAAAATAAGACCTAAAATCGTTGCTTTGCCTTTCAATGACGGTAAACATCCTTTATGCTAAAGTACCCCTTTGACCTTTATACATACTACTAATGCGCATAAGCAGTAGGCGCTTCATCTATCGATGTAACGGAATGAAAGATACTGGTGATGGTCTTCTTGACACTTTCGCTACGATTCTCGTGGTTTCGCCCCCAATCCCGGTGCCATGTTGCTCTGTTCATGATAAAGCCATTAACAATCCACCAGTCCATCTATGCATTTCTAATAGCTAGAATTATGGATCTCATAGCGTCTCTTTGGGGAGGACATGAATGCCGCATTAGAGACGACTAGCCAGGTGTACAATATTTGCAAAAAGAATCTATCGAGGATACTGAAAACATAAGAATTGTTAATGTAGGTCCCACTTCCCTTATGTTTTACACCGTAGTCAATAGCTGACATAGTGAATGCGACCTTCATGGAGGCCTCTTTGTTATCTGCATGAATGTCTCGATTTTAGTGAAATGGATCCATCCTACAGAACTGGGAGCTGAAGTGAATTTAGATGGACGCTAAGGAAGTGATAAAATGGATGCTGTCATCGGGAAGGGCAGTCAGACGCACACTGACAAGGATGATTAAAACTGTCCCTATAAAATGAGGTTTTGATGTGCCATGATTGGATTGAAGTATCTACACGCGTTTCTTAGGAGTTACATGAGCAGTTGAACCATGTAAGGGGAAGGAAGATGCGAGGCGCCTCGAGCAAAAGGCGCTAACAGACCTAAGTAATCCAGGATCTACTCCAAAGTTGTCGGTCCTATAATACCTGAAGCAAATTTAAACGTCTATCTCACTGCCACTGCACCAGTTCAGTGAGTCGGCATTGGCATTGCAGATTGCTTACCGACTAGATGGCAAGGGAGGGAGAAAAAAAACAACTGCATTTTTTGTGGTAGAAGGTTGCTATTCGATAACTGTCGGCAGCTCCACAAACACAAGACAGAGAAACATTTGCTTCTATTTCCTTCAACTGATCGACTTGTGCACCGACACGGGTTCTAGAGTTAAGTTTTTAAGGAAGCATGCGCAAATTTTTGTACCATAAGGACATGCACAATACCTGATCATGCAAAATACTTTCTGAAATTGAAAGAAAAAAAAGAGGGCGAAATATTTAATCTCGCACGTTAACATCTGTACCTGATGAACGCCAAACAAAAGCCAGCACGAATACCACTATGACTAGACTTGATTCTACCAAAAAAGCGACCAGGTGCAACTCCGTATAATTTCACCCCTACAGATAGGTAACGGATTTTACCACTCCCTGAGCGAAGATGTATTTGAAGTTAGGAAAATCATTTTATAAGCAATACCTTGGTCCGCAATACAGGGGTCCGCCCCAAAACAGCCACATTTAAATCAGATATCATCAATTCCAAAGAAGGGGAGAAAACCTCAGCCTATTTGAAAAACTAGACTATAGGAGCTGCTAATTACATCATACGTGTAAGAACAAGTTAAATATTATACAAATTTATCAGCAAAAATACGTAATGCGATGGTTATTTAACCCTCCGTTTTGGTGATTTTATCATTGTACTACTGTAATACGGTAGTGGTTTATCCCTCCTCATTGGTGGGGCGCCACTTTCGTACTTCGAACTAGTCCCCTTGTGCCTCGCTGGGTGGGTCGGCCATTCGTGGCATGCCAATAGCCCAGACACCTTCTCTGTGCTGAATATATACTCTACCCGAGTATTGTGTCTTCTTTCATCGTATCTTGGGTGTCTCGGGACGCTACATTGGTGGCAGCGGAAAGCAAAACCGATCTTAAAGGACATGTATCCTGATTTTCCGCTTCTGCGTAATAAACCTTAGTGGAGCAGAAGGAGCACATATGCTGCGGATGGGAGAATGGTGATGACCCCTAATAGAAGGGTCGGTGTTGACGTCTACCTTCGGCATCCCTCCCAGTCCCGTGTTCTGCAGAAAAGCTGGTAACAACTGAAGCGACACTAGCCGTGAACCATCTGGAAGTTTCGTTACGGACATTCCCTACTGTTCCCCATGGACCTGCATTAAATCCCGTCCTTCCTTACAGAAATCTACTTTTAGGCCAGTGTTCCTGCATCCACC